AATACACTTAAAATGAGTACTCTTCTGTTATCGAAGACCCGGTTCAGAAATATGTGTATGCCAGCATTGAGTGTATGTATGCACACACCTACATATGTATATACTTATATACATGCATACACGAACACATAAATCCATACACTTCTGAATCTAGTCCCGAAAACACAAGAGTACCAAAAAATGAAAGGGTGCAAAATCAAGACATATTAATGCAATGAATTAATTAAACAGTATTTTGCCTTTATTAAATAAAAATCTGCTGCTACAACTTCTGGTAAAGAAGGGAGAGCAAACATTCTTGCTTGAAAATATTAGACTACAATTTAAATCCTGAAAGAAGAGTTTAAAATCAAAAAGCTTAAAAATACAAAAATCTTTCAAATATTTAGCTTCTCTTATTTAAAAAAAAAAAAATTATTGCTGCTTCGCCCTATTAATGAAACTAAATCATCATCAATGAATAAAATATAAACTTAACTCGGGAAAATAGCAGAATCGTCCACTGCTTGGCGTGTTTTTAAGAATTGCACTAACTGGTTATCCATTTGCACATCGACCTATTTTCACTTAAAAAAAATACCAGAATTGCACAAAAATGGCTTTGCACACTACCTTTATCCATGTACACATCGATCTATTTTCACTTAAAAAGTCAAAGAAAATTGACAAAAATCCAATTCTTCTTATTCTTGTAAAAAGTGCCAAACAAATAAGTGGGCGATTCTGCACTTCACCCCTTAACTCAAAAAGAAAGTTGATTTGAAAAGTTCCAGCATTTTTTATATAATTTGTGCCTGATCTTTACAATATGGTAACTGGTAATTTGGCGACATTTTGGAGGCAATAAAGGTTACTACCTGGGACTTTGGTAATAATGTGAGCAGTACTCAGTTCCGATTACGCATTATTTTGTGTGAGGGAAATGAGAGATCATATGATATTAATGGACGAATTACGGTTCTTTAATCGTAAAAGGGGGGAAATCGGGAAAAAGTCTGGAAATTTTGTATTTGCCTTTATCCTGTGTTGTGTGAAACAGTGTTCGTTAATTTTTGGATCCCATGGCCCTAACTAAAGTGAATTCGAAATGGTATTTAGTGGGATTGAAAGGTGTAGTAATAAGTGTTTCTTTAAGGTTGTGCGAGATAGAAGTAAAGATGTTTTATTAAGTTATTTATTTTACCTGGTACCTTGGTGTGAACTATAAGTACGATTTTAAAGATCCTGAAACAGAAATAAGAAAAGTTTATCGGACACGTAATCAAGATTCTGAAGAAGAATAGGTAAGTTAGTATTTTTAATTATTTGAGGATATTATTTTTATGCATTGTTCTAAATGTAAGGTGGAAGTAAAGTAATTTGCGTAAACGTGCATGGAAGTAATTTAAATATTTGACACTAAGTATTTGTAACCATTTGTAATGAAGTAAAGGTATGAATTAGTTAGTGACGTTTGTAATATAATAGATAATGTAGAGGTAAAAGTTTTTGGATATTTATTTATTTTATACGGGGAAATGTTCATATTTGGAAAACATATGTACTTTTTCGCGATCAGGTAATTTCATATATGTTCTTTTTACCGGGTTTAAAGATTCAGAAAATTGTTATGCATTTTCGTGAAATTTTTCTAATTTATGAGAAAAAAGCAGTGTACATGGATATAGTGAAGAGTGTGCGCAATGCCATTTTTGTGTAATTCTGGGATGTTTTTTTTAAGTAAATATAAGTCGGTGTGTACATGGTTTATGTGTATGTGTTATTTTGAAAAACGCGTAAGGAGTATGGTATTGTGCACTTTTTCCCAATTTTGCAGTGAATATTTGTCATGATTAAGCAGTTTTGTTAGATAAAATTTCTAGCATAAGTGTAATTCGGCTAGTAGATTGTTGGAAGAAGTGTTCAGTATATAAAAAGAAAAGAAACATGTCTTTACTTCGTGAAGACAAAATGGCGGCGGGAAAAAAAAAATAGAGGGTTGCTGTAAGAGAGTTGGTCGGCAAATTTTCGCCAAAAAAACGCCAAGTTACCATAATGTAAAGATCAACCTAATTTGTTTTTACTGAATATGGGAAAAAAAAAAAAAAAAAAAAAAAAAACTATATAAATGCAGACGTGCAACCTATACATTGCTATAAAATTTCACCATAACCATGAATTTTGGAGGAAAGTGCAGAATCACCCACTGCTTGGCGAGTTTTTAAGAATTGCACAAACTCGGTATCCATGTACACATCAACCTATTTTCACTTAAAAAACATCAGAGAATTGCACAAACTCGCCGTTGTGTTTTTTTTTTTTTTTTTTTTTTTTTTTTTTTTTTTTTTTTTTTTTTTTTTTTTTTTTTTTTTTTTTTTTTTTTTTTTTTTTTTTTTTTTTTTTTTTTTTTTTTTTTTTTTTTTTTTTTTTTTTTTTTTTTTTTTTTTTTTTTTTTTTTTTTTTTTTTTTGTACTCTCTTTGTCCACATACACATCGATCTATTTTCACTCAAAACATCGAAGGAAATTGACAAAAATCCAATTATTGTTACTCTCCTGTAAAAAGGGCCAAATAAGTGGGCGATTCTGCACTTCAGCCGAATTTTGTCTTGGATGCAGAATATCATGTAATTAACAGAAGTAGAAATTTTGCAATAGACCACTTGACAATTATATTATAAAATCATAGCTACTTCCTGATTATCCACTCTCACAAAAAGTGGCCAGTAAATATTGCCAAGTTTGAGAATGGCAAAAACTGTTTGGCTATCTTTATATCTCATACGTACTCTTCCATTTAGAAATAAACAAATAATAAAAACAAGCATTTTACAAAAAGTGAGACTATGTGAACGAACAAAAATATATATGGCTGATATTTACATTTTTTACAGCTGGTGGATGCTGTTCTGTAGAATGATGGCTGAATGTAAAGCATGCATTACTAAAACACGTGCGAATTGGCAGTTGCATGCATAACTGAAAATGCGCACAAAAAACAATGGGGAAATTCTATGAAATATTAGCAGTGGGGATATGGATAATCAGAAAGTACCAAATAACATTTGATCTATAATTCTTAACATAATTTGTTAGGAATTATAGATCAAATGATTAATTTTGTTTTGGTGGTGAAAAAAAAAAATTCCATAACGCAGATAATCTTGCATATTTGACTGACATCTATTTATGACAGTCTCTCTACTCGGTGTCTGCATTTGATTGCTAACCGAAAATAATTACCTCTTCAAATAGACAAAGAGAGCATATATAACATACCTAATACATCATATCAAAAATTGGTATGATATATTAGAGATTAGAACGATTCTATGATATAAAATAATTTGGGTTTTCATCCGCAGAGAACCCATTGGCGCCGCTGCATTTTTACTCGGCAAACTCGCGGTTCATCGACTATTATGACCATGGTGATGCATCAAACTATTCTATCATCTTAGATAATCAATAATATTTTTTATTTCAATTTAATCATCTATTTATGTCACACCTGCCATCCTCTGAAAGGTTATTGTCAGAAAAGCATTAACAATATATTATCTTGTTAAAATTTTACACCATAAAAATTGATTTATTCTCATAATTTCAGATGACAATAATCAATAATAAAAATAAAAGCATTACTACCCCGGCATCTATCTACGAATATATTTCTGTCTATTTGTTGTTAAAAAATTCAGAAAAAATAATAATAAATAAGAGAAGAATTATATAAATCTGTAAATGCGAATGACAGCTTTAATTCAACAAAAATGAACGCAAGATGAATGGTTGCAAACTTCGAACAAGCAAATAGGATAAATCCACTGGGTTACCAGGTTTGAACTATTATCGCCAAAGTTGGCTATGTTTACATTTACCGGGTTCTCTGCGAAGTGCTTCCAATAATTTGTATCATACATTTGAGACAAGAGGCTCCCAAAACAGAGCTTGAGTATAGGACTCCATTGGTGATTTTTTGGCTTGGCGATTAGAAATGTCCCCAAGCCATGGAAAAGCCGTTAAAATTGAAAACACAAGTTAGAAGGCACATTTTAACCAGAAAAAAATTTGAGAATATATGTTTAAATAGCAAATTTGAAGGTACATAAGTAAGTAAGGGCATATTTTAAGTAGTAATATTGAAAATACAAGTTTAGCCTTGCAGCTAAAATTGAAAATAGATGTTAGAATGCACATTTTAACAAGAAAAACTTTAAATACAAATTTAGAATATATATTTAAACATTGAAACTGAAAATAAATAAATAACGGCATATTTTTAGCAGTCATACTGAAAATTCAAATTACAAGCTGTAAAATTGAAAATAGGAGCTCAGAATACATGTTTAAATTTAAAATATGAAAATAGGAGTAAAGAATGCATGTTTAAATTAAAAGTAAATAAAAATTTGAAAATACACAAGTACATAGAGGCATATTTTAAGCAGCAATATTGAAAATGCAAGTTTTAAGTTATACAACCGAAAACAGGAGTTCAGAACACATGTTTAAATTAAAAATAAAAGAAATGCTGGAAATTTAGTAAAGTTTACAAAATCATGGTACAATTTACAAAGAAATCCTATACTCTGCCCAATTTATGTCCCTTACAATTTCGAGAAATTTGTTGAGTACATCAATATTTTGCTCCTTCAAAGAAAATGACACTTTCCGGTTTAAAACACAAACACGCGGGAATGTGACAGGTTGCCGAAGTGGAGTATTCTATAATTTACTGGGTTACCAGAAAAACAACCGTCCAAAAAGTGCGCCAAGCCAAATATCGACAATAGGGTCCTATACTCAAGCTGTACCGGCTCTTTTATACCCATGAAAGTTATCTCATATAAGAAAAAGAGGTAAGATGACTTTTGTAAAAAAACAATGTCTTACACATGCTTAAAAATTCTCCACCCACCCTGCGGACAATAGTAGCAGCAGCTCGAACATGCTTTCTAGGTGAAATTCATGTTTGCATTTGCATATAACATTGATACATAGTTTCATTACACGGAAATGTTAAAAACTACAATAAAAGAAATTTTTATACTTCACAAATAAGATACATTGATACACGTTGTCATAACTGATGTAGCAACAGCATATGATAAAAGTATAAAAGACAGCTTAAACAGTTATCAACTCTATATAATGAAAAAGTTACCATAGAAAGTTACAGAACTTCTCAAAGAGTACAGTATGATTTCCATATATAGTGTAATGTTGATGAAAGAAACAGTTTTTGTCAACTATAACATAATTACAGAAGAGATGAATAGTAAATCTGCAGTGAAGAGGAATGAAAAACACAACCTTGAATAATAAAATCTGTATTCAAAAGTTGTCTCAGCGGCAAAAATAAGGAACACCATTGTTAAGTTTTTTACGTTTGCTAATGCCTTCAAAAAACTCTTTAATATCATTTTCGCTTACTGTTCTCTTGTTATCAGCAAATGCTTTCAGGTATTCTTTTAGCTGACCCTTCATTGAAGTGTACGCACGAATTGCTTCCATTTGTTTAACTCGATCCATTTGGCTTAGAGCAGACAACCCCTTGTCATACTGGCTTTCAGTTGCACAGCCTTTCCCTCGTTCTTCGTAAGCCTGAATTGTATCATCTGGATTTAATAAAAATTCACAATCATATTTAAGATACATGTCCATGCAAGAGGAACAATGGCACAATTCTTTACGCCAATTTTCAGGCCAGAAGGCTGTTCCAGATGTAATGATTTTGTCAGTTTCCATTTTTTTGAGAATGCAATTTTCAACTACTTGCTTTACTTCATCAGTAGCAGATTCTTTTTTTACATTACAAACATTAGCTTCCTGTTTTACAACAGAACTATCTGACTGAAAATTGACCTCAGAAGCACTACTTATTTCCTGACTTTCGGTATTTAACTGGGAATCATTCTCTTCTTTAACAGAAATTACCGATTCTATACTTTCTTCAGTTTTGAATTTTTCTTCTTGTACACCATTTTCTTGTTTGATTGTATTCTCATCATCACACACTTTAATATTCTGAAAATTATTAAGATATGTATATAAAAATTTATGAGTTTCCATGCATTTACCACATATCATTTCAAAATAATCATCGGGAATTTCACACCCAAGATGTCTGCCGTGGTACCAATCTTCACACATCACACATTGTATCATTTCATCTGCAGTATCATCCTCTAAATCAGGATAAGGTCTACTGCAATTACAATATAAACCTCTAAAATTTTGGTTGTACTTATTTTTCAAGTTTAAAGGATCCTTCTCAGGTCTTAAAGTACATGTTTTGCCAGGAAACTTGCTGTTCCCGCAGTCACATCTAAAATTTCTTTTAGTGTACAATTCAACAACTTCGTGACCATCATGACAAGCATAGCAACATGCCAAACAAATTCCACCGGGTTCATCATTTACAGAACAAGTTGTACAAGCATATAAAGCTTGCCGCGAAACATAACCTTTATCGTAAGAACAGTTTGTGTCATCACTCCCTCCCAAAACAGCGTTTGCATCCTCTTCTAACTCTTGTTCTTCTTGTAAAACATCACACATAGTAAGTTCGGTATCCTCTTTAGGTGAAGAATTAGATGATTCTGCCATATTCTGATAAATGATAAATACTTCTTTTAAAATTACTATAATGTCACTTATCGCTAAAATTTTGCCAATCCGCCAATTGGAAAAAAAAAAAGATACTCGAGTACGGTTACGAGTACATTCATGAGCATAACACATTCTTTAAAGTGCATAACATAAACATCAGTGCATAATTTTCAGAATATTATTGTAATTAATTCATTTGTTAATGAAAACATTTTTACTATGAACAGCTTGAATACATTTTTATAAATACTATTTAAAGAAGTTTTCGTTATAATTTAAAATGTCTGCGTAATAATATTTATTCTAAAATTAGCAATGATTTCAAATTTATTTAAAATTATCGGACTGCTGTCATAATTTTTGACTCCATATGAGACAAATCTCGACAGAAAAAAGTTCCTGATTCACAAGGTACCTTGCTTGCCTAGGATACAAATTAAAAGGCTACTAACAATGCACTACATGCTTAAAAATAAATTAAGAGATGTTTATGTGTAAAGTTCCATGGAAACGACACTTTCGAATGCTCAATTTTATAAGCTAAACAATATAGTTTCTTTGCTTTTGTTTCAGCTTTCGTTCTGATTGCTGGTTTATCAATGATGTCCTTTACCTATCGAAGTCCGGGGTACTAATATTTAGGTTTTTGTTTTTTGGGCAAAAAGACTTAGTTGATCACTGTTTCATTTACATTTTCCCACTTTCTTGTGATTCTGTATTTTTTGATAGATTATAACTGAGCGTTTTTCTTTTATTATTATTAATGTCACCGTAAAAAATTATAGTTTTATGAACTAAATATTAAAGTTTTTCTTTTAAAATTTTTTCCGGGAAAAGGTGCATTTATAACTTTTTGCTGTAAGGTTTCTCGAAAGAGGCGTCTAGAGAAACAGTGATACGAATGTCCTTCTATTAACACGTTTCACTTTGGTCTGTAATTACATTAATATGTCCAGGCAAATACTTAAAGTAGCAGATCCCAAAAAAGTTGTGAGTATTTTTTCTCGCTGCCTCTGTTTTGGGCGTAATGAATTAGTTTATAGAGAGATCCGGCTTAATTCTTGCTAAACACACAAGAAAATCTAATTATTTTTATCAGTTTGGGGTAGGATATCGCGCTTAGATATTAATATAATAAAATTTTTGTTTCGTTATACATATGTATTCAAGTTGATTATTTAAGAGATTTTAAATGATCAAAAATTATCTTGAGATTGGAATAATTGCTAATCACTCTCAAAATTATTTTTTGATATCATTTTTTTAATGCAAATGAAATATATATTAAAATTTTAAGACAAGGTGTTAAAACAGGTTGTGTAAAAACTTTATTTATTTAGTATAACGTGTCAGTGCAGTTTATTTGATGTGTAAAGTATTTATTCGAATTTTTGTATCACATTTATTAGTTGCTCCTTCATGTGTTGTGAATTGATCAATACTACAAATCTCCAGGTCCATAAAAATGTACTAAATATCTGTTTTTTTACTCTTTTTTGCTTAGGCCAGTGAAACTTGTGTTCTCTTCTACTGAGGAATTTTGCTCAAATTTCATAACTTTTCACATTTTTTCAATATGAAGCAGATCTTCGTTAGACTATACAACATAATTGTATTGAAGAATAAATTACCACAAGTGGTTAAATGAAGTTAAAAACAAAATGCTTTAGGTTGACATGCGGCTGATCTAAAATATTTTAATTCATTTTTAACATAATTGTGTTTTTTTCTTACGTTATTTAATTTCTGAAATAATGCTTGAACACATTTTACATTTTGCAATAAAGCATTTTTACTTAATTGTTCAGTCAAATTAGGCTCTTTTATATTTTCAGAGCACCTGCTGCTTTTGTCTGGATACCTATTTATTGAATACTTTGGCAGCTAGTCACCTGCATAGTTTTTTTTTTTTTTTTTTTTTTTCTCTCAGGTTTTTTTTTCTTTTATATCTGTATAGATATTTCTTTTATATACCTCTTTTTTCTGAGCGAATTATTTAAGATGCTTGACTTAAATGCTTGAGTAGGTTTTAAAGGAGATCAGTGGAAAAGTCTGATTAACAATTTGCATATAAACAACTTGCAACTGAAGTTAAATTTTAATCTGGTACATTATTAGGTAACTGGTGTTCTTCAGAAACTACTGTTTGAGACAGAACAAACATAGTTTGCAGATTTTAACTGTTAGAAAGTAACCATGTGGTAAAGATTTAAAAGAAGTTATATAACAATAATTTATAGGTTTTAGGGTTGTAGTAGGTAAATTAAGTAACCAAGAATTGTCTAAGTAATGAAGAATTATCCTTCAATTAGAGGTATTATTTATATTCCTGCAGATTGTTTAAATAAATTGAAGAAAATCTCATGCATACTTTATTATGATAGTTTGTATACGAAATTAAAAAAAAAAAAAAAAAAAAGACAAATAATTAAAATTTTGTCATAAAACAGAATTGCTGTTATTTTGCAAAAATTGAACTTGTAGGTATAAAAAAATACTTCTCATACAATAAATTCCTATTTTGTAAATTTTAGCAGTCCATTTCAATTTTATTTATTTTTAATGGTGGGAACTAGCCATTTTTAGGCTTTCACCACTGCTAAGGCTAGAAATGGTGGCCATTTTATCATGAAGGCACCTAACAAGCAGCTACCATTACCTCCTACGAGGGAACATACAATTTACATCCATGTCTTCTCTGGAATTCAAACCTGGGCCCTTTGCTATCGCAGTCGGCTCCTCTAACCATTATTAGCTAATTAAATTATGATTTTATACCATCTGGGCAGCTGTCCATTGCAAAGTAAAAGGTTTGGAGTATCTTTAGGTGTTTTTATAGTTGATGAAATTTTATTTTTATTGACAAAAAAATGTATGTGACCTGAGCTGACTTTAATTGGAGTGATTCAATAAACTTCATGTTTGCTTCTTAAGATTAAACGAAAGCTGAGTATACAGTCAAGCTGAGTATCAAGTCATTAATTCGGACACCCATAATTCGGAATGATCTATAATCCGGACCTCAAAACTAAAAACTTTCTGCGCATGCGCCGCGTTGACACATGCGCATAGACGTTTACGCGTGCGCGTAAGACCTTTTACGACTGCGCATATGAGTGTGCGCAAGTGCAGAATACGTTTCCGCGTGCACGTTTTATGTATAATGGACGTATAAGCTAAAATTATCTAATTATCTATTTCAGTTAATGTTGATGATTGCGTTGTTCCTTAATTTTCGAATTGGATCCGGCTTATTATTTTTTGCAGACTGTAAGAGCAATTTTATAAAAGTAAGCTTAAACTTTCGATTATATCAAATAGAATTTCCGATATATATTTGTTAATATGTAAAGGATCTAAAGCGAAAGTATGTTTTGAAATCCAAAATCTGTTCATCAATTTCACGCTGCTCGGTGGGGGCAACGCCGCGGCGGGCGCGTAATGAATTGGAAGTTGATCTGTCAGCACTATCCTTATCTTCAGCGCAGATGTTTTTATTTTATTTGGCTTATAATTCCTTACCAAATGTAGTATTTCATCTCGATATGCTCCATCTTTGATACGATTTAAAACAAGTTCCTCGTCATTATAATTCACTTCCGATAGCAAGAAAGAGTAACAGAGGTTATTGAAAACGAAAAAAATTTCGATTGACAAATTAGTCGGTGTTCTCGAACAGCAATTATAGGACTTGAACAGTGGAACTTTGTAACTGAACAAGAAATTAGTGTCTGTTTAATAGAATTAAGAGAAAGTATTATCACATGAAACGAAGCAAAACTTAAACAACTTACATTGAAAGAAATGTTTTAATAAAGTAAACAAATAAATATTAAGCTTTTTCTTTTTGCAAATTTTGATACCCTTTAGATCATAATTGTTCTTTATTTCATAAATTACAGTTTCATATTTTTAATTTTAGAATTTCTGCATGCCATCTTACGAGATTTAAACTGATGATCTATAATCCGGAAAAATCGATAATCCGGAATCGCCGAAGTCCCGACGAGTCCGGATTAATGACTTTTGACTGTATATATATAGATCAGATACTGATTCAGTGGTTTGTGTATTCCTTTCCGAGTTATTTGATTTTTTATCTCTGGTGTTGAGTTCATGTTGGTGAATCGAGTCTACACTGTATTTAAATTTTTATTATAGTTTATTAAATGGTGTTATAAAGTCCATATGATTTTTCTGCCTTGCAAAAGAAATTTAGTATGACAAAGGTTAACAATCTTTGGAGAATCTACAAACTTTAGGGAGACAGAAATATGATTTAAGGAGAGAAATAAATAATAAGTATTATTATTATAATTCTGGACTTGTATCAAATTTATTATTTGTCATTTTATGAAATGTTATTTGAGTAGTACCAAAGTGAACAAAGGCTTCAGTCATAAGAAATTAAAATTTAGTATTAAAATACCAGCTTCTGAGTTAATTAATTCAAATTTTAATTCCTAAACACTTTAAGAAGTTTCAGTTAAAAAATTAATAATGAATATTTGTATTTAATATTTTCTATTTTCCAGAGTTCTGAACTTTTTGCTCTTACATACGGATCTCTTGTTGCCCAAATATTGAAAGATTATGAAAATGATGATGATGTTAACAAACAGCTTGAACGAATGTGAGATTTAATTTTTATTGTTTAATAATTTATATAATCTTATAATTCTCTTAATTTTTTAAAAAATTGTTAATATTTTCAATTTTATTTTTGCCTTTTGTATATTTTTTCAAAGGGGTCACAATATAGGTGTTCGACTTGTAGAAGACTTTTTAGCTAGAACTAATGTTGGTCGTTGCCATGATCTACGAGATACTGCAGATAAAGTGCAGGTATTGATATGTTTTTAATGTCCTATAAATGTAATTTGGCCTTTCTTTCCCATTTAATGTTGAAATAACATAGATTTGATTATGCACTGATCAACTTTATAAATTACTTTTTGATGCTATAAAGTATTAGGTAACTTATACATTTTCCCATTGACTGTGAAAGTTGATGGAAATCCTATCAGAGTAGGGCCAGTCATTTTGGCAGAATTTTGAAGGAACAATTGGCTGTTAATTTAGTTAGCTAATCATAAATAACTCTTCATTAATTACATAATTTACAGATACAAATTATATCTACACAGTATAGTGGAAAACAAAAACAAACAAACAAACAAAAATCTGAGCTCTATATCAGCTAAAAACCCTAATGGCATTTAAACTAACTACAAAATGGTCATCTTTATGAACCCAGTGTCATATAAATTCATTTAAATACCAATCTAAGGTGTATTGCTTGGTTTTGAGTTGTTATTATTGCATCATTTTGCTTATTTCTAAAGTCTTTTTTTTTTTTTTTTTGTTTAGTATGATGGCAAGAATCATTTTCTCAAAATGTAAAAGGAAAACAGAGAAACAGCAGTTAATTTATATACTTCTTCATAGAAAAAAAATTGGCTAACTGAGAGTTAATCAGGGTTACATGAAAACAAAATGAAGGTCTTATCAGTGTGTTGTTATGTCACTTATCCATTATTTTCCTAAATTGCACAATTTTGCTATGCCTTTTATTTGTCATAATGGTTGACTAAAATATATAAGTATCAATTGTTTTTATTATCGTCAAATCAGAGACATTCAGTGAGCCAGACTTCTTTCCAGCCAGCAAACAATTAAAAATAATTATTTTTTCTTCCTGTGCTATTTTACTTTCAAAATAGAAATGTTCTAGCTTTTAAAATTGAAGTCCTTTTTGAGTTCTAATGTTATTTAGTTAGAGAGATTTAATTTTATGATTGCCAATAGTACATAGTATTTTTAGCTAGAATTAATGTTGGTCGTATGGAAAACATAGGAATAAAAAGAAGCTAACTTTTGTTTAGTCGGATGACATGATTTGAAGTGTGGTGGAAGGCAAACCGATGAAGGTTTATGGTAAACCGTAGTACTGAAGTTGGATGTGTTACGTGTGACCAGAATGTCGAGAAACGGAATAGAATTGCAAGTCTCAAGTTTAAAAGTGAACTGAATAGCAGGATCAATGGAATTCATTGTTGAAAGAACTTTAATTAAATCATCTTTATTACTTTCAAACAGTGTAAAAGTATTGTCTAAGTAGCAGAACTGTACTGGGATATCTTTTCATACAGAAATGGTTTTAAAATAAATGCTCACATTAACTAAATAGCTAAGATTAGATTATTGTACAAGACCTCAACAAGATTAAACCTTAATTTTTTTCAATAAAAAGATAAAAATTTATATAAATGCTTTTCTTAAGGACCCCATTCCAGATATGAATTCCTGGGGTATTTACAGGATTCCTTGCTAGTGTGGCTTAATTTACATTGGCCAAACTAAGAGAGCCTTAAAATTTCACGTTAAGGAACATGAGGCATATGTTAGAAAAAAGGAAACTCAGAAGGCTTCTGTTGCCCAACATTGTTGGTCCGAAAATCACACTTTCAATTTTTCTGCTGCCAAAATTATTCAAAAAACATCTTCCATTGGTGAACTGGATTTTCTAGAGGCATTTCACATTCAAAAAAATCTTTCTGTTCTAGTTAACGACCCTAATTTAAATCCATTTTTTTGCCTTCAGCCTTTAAAGAAATTATGTTTTAGTTCTGGTTTCATCAACAGATGGCGCCAGTGGCTTATCTCCTGTCCGGGTTTTTCTTATCTTATCTTGTTCATTTGCGCCTTTGCAGCTGAGGATGGTGGTTCGGTAAAACCATCGAAACTAGTCCTGTGAAAATTTGAAAATATAACGCTGATTTTTGTTGTTTGACTTCTAAATTAATATTTGTTCAGCATGTTATTGTATGTTAATTAATGAAGTGTTATTTTGCATTTTCAAAGCATGATGCAGTGTATATTTTTAATTCCTATATTTAATTTAAAAGCCAAAATGTTTTTTGATTTAATCTTTTAAAAATTTATTTATGTAGTAATTATAATAAAAAATTCAGCAGAATTTCAGAATTTAATGTTCTTCCCATAAATATATTTAAATGATTTGAGAGCATAATCCAATACTTCAAATATGATATGTATATGAGCAAGGCTTTGTTTTTACAAAATATGCTTTGTTTTTACCAATTTAATGTTTCACATTATGTAAAGTTCCTTTAATATTTTTCTTACTTTATTCAAACTCGGGTAAATTTGCTTAAATATTTAGTGGAAAATAAAGAAGAAATGTTTTAAGTAGAATTTATTAAAAATTCAGATTTTCAAGAATTCGAAAGTATATATCACATACTTATTCATCTTGAGCCTGTTTTAAGAGATATTTATCAAACTGTAAATATTCATATATAAGTAGTTTAAATAGTTATTAGTAAGCACATTGCAAAAGCTTAATCTGATATTTGTGAAAAACTGCTTGAAATAAAAACCCCCAGTAAAAACACAACTCCTTATAAAACCCATTTGCATCTAGATTAACATTTTTAACAGTATATCACATTCTGTTTCAAGTTAACATAACTTTTTTTTTTCTGTTATATAATCTGTAGTTATAAGTCTTTTCCATATTTTTTTATAGGCAGCATTTAAAATGTATTTAGGAATAAGCCCTGTGATAACAAATTGGAGCCCTGCTGCTGATGAATTTTCATTATTGATTGATTCAAATCCCTTAACAGAATTTGTTGAATTACCCGAAGGCCATAATTCTTTAAAGTATTGTAACATCCTTGCTGGTGTTATCAGGGGTGCATTAGAAATGGTAATATTTTTTATAGTAATATGCCAATAATACTTTGCTTATATATCTTTAGACACTGTGTATTGTTTTATGTGCTGCTGCTTATACCTGAAACTTTATTTGAAATTATGAGTGCAGTTTTATTCTGAAATTATGCACTTCCTAAAGTCGAGCATGACAGCTGACAGCTGTACAGCTGTAAAGACAGAGCTGTATCTCCTTTATTTCTCTCTTGTCTTTATTTGGAAAAATTAAAAATGTTACTTTAGATAATAATTTATCTCAAATAATTTATTAACTGGTAAGTTCTGCACATTGCATAAAATCTGCATGATGGAATTGGCAAAAATTTTATAATAATAATATGTTGGTTAAATTATAATTTTTTTTGGTTAAATTGTAATTTTTTAAAATTTTCATTCTCTAGGCATTGTTTTATTGAACACTGTGCTGAAAATTTGACCAGAAAAGTTATTTTTTACATTATATATATAAAATTAAAAGTAACAGGCAAAAGAAAAACAAGTCAGAAAATAAATCATATATCATAAATTTGAACAAATACATGGTATTGAAAATTAAAATGTTTTAAAAAATTTGAACTATCAAAATATTATTTGCTATGTCATATAAATTGCAATACCATTTATTTGCTCAATTTATGGTATATGGTTTATTTTCTTATTTAATTTTCTTTTGTGTGTTTAGTCGTAATTTTAACTTAATAGATATTTGCAAACTATATCTTAGCAGCATTATGCACAGGAAATATTTTTTAAGTCCTTATTAATATATTTTTTCCAATTTAATTATATGTTTGTGTACATATTTATATATATATAAATAATATAATCCAGAAATGGAAAGTAGGACAATAAGTTGCAATTTTTAGATTGTATTTCAAGTAAAACAGAACACCAATTAATTTCTCTATACTGTTATTACTGATTCTTAATTAGTAGTTTGAATAATTAAAACTCAGTCTTACTGAGCAGCTTTTTTAGTCTTCATTCTTACTTGAGAAAAAGAGGAAGTGTTTTCACATCTTTTAATTATTATTAATCGATTGGAAATTAGTTTGTTCTGGAAAATAAACTAATTTCCGGTCAGTAGTGATAATTATTTAGTTTGTTGGTTGCACTTTCGTTTTAAAAATGTTTTAATTATTCAATTTAAATATGCTGATGAGTAAATTTATTACAATGAAATTCCATCTTAACTACTTTATTTTCCAAGGAGATAACAGATTCAATAATCTACTAGTAAATAAATTATATACACTGGTTAACATAAATTAAGGAAATATCACAAAAATAGCGATAACTTCCTAAAAAATAAGCCAAACCATGTAAAATTTGAATATGTTGCCAAGTAAGAGTAGCTGAGTAAAACTGCAATATGCAAATTAGTAGCGCTGCACTCGGAATACGTCATCTGCGAATAGCATAAAAGTCCATGTTTGAGAGTAAGCCCACATATTTCACTGTGATAGTGACATCAGAAATCTGAGATAGCCAATTTGTAACAATGACCTCCAGGCAATGTTGCCAGATCATGTGATTTTGTGCAAATTTGAGACTTTTGACAAACTTGTGCTACTAAAATTTTAGTATTTGCGATTTGCGAAATTTTTGCGACATTCATCATTTCCTTTCTGCTAATTTTTGCAACTTCAAAGATTTTTTTAATGTATTGTAAAATGCTTTTATTTCAAAATAATTTATCAATTAAATATAATTTACATTAAAAAATAGTTTATTTAGGCTTAAATAGAAGTTGACATCTCGCGATCTTGTTTAGATGTGGGCTTTTCTTTTCAAGGCTGCACAGCCTGATGCCAGTATAACAAGAAAGCCTTAAGGGAAGTGAAGAAAGTAAAAAGAAAGAAAAGAAAATACTTCGGACCCCTCACCATCCTCCCTCGTTCCCATGCATTTTGTTTTTCAGTCAGTCCCCTCCCCATTTCTATAATGATAATGAGTCAAACCAAAGAACTTGCAGCTTACACTCTATATATAGCATTCCTCAATTAAAATATTCACAATTAAGCAAAAAAAACAAGGAATTAAAAAAAATTAACTGCCGACTAAAAAAAAAATTTAATGCGAAAGAGCTAACAGTCTAAACGTGAGGAATCTCTTAAGAACGGATATCTGCAAATTAATTTAAAAATTGAAACTAAATTAAATGAGAATTAATTAAAAAAGAAATGGATATTTAAACAATTGAAAATGAGCAATATAGTTTTAAAATTTTCATGGATATTCATGGATATTTAAACAATTGAAAATGAGCAATATAGTTTTAAAATTTTCGTTAAAGCTAAGATATGTAATGAAAAGACTAAGAATTGAATACAGTCTGTAACTTACAGAACCAATAGGTGGTAAATTTGTGATAACATCAAAGGTCATGCAAGCTGCATAACTATGACGTCACAAAAATCACGTGATCTCTGACGTCATTTGCAATTTTTTTTTTGACTTTTTTAGTCTTCTTTTGCTACTTTAGTTAAAAATTTCTGGCAACACGGCCTCTAGGCATCATTTGCCTGCAGAACTACAATGGAGAGCCATTGGGAGACTAGAGGCAGGACAAAGTCAAACAGAAGTGGCCAGATGGCTAAATGTGAGTCTTTCTGTGGTTCATAGACTTTGGAGGCAGCTTCAAACCACAGATTCGGCATCTAGGAGGTTCAGCCAAGGACGGGCAACTGCTACGACGAGCGTCGATGACCGATATTTGACATTATGTGCCAGCAGGAACAGAACCACTACTCCGACTCTTCTCAGATCCTCCCTTACTGCAGCCTCTGGAAGGTTGGTGTTAACGTCAACTGTGCATAGAAGGCTTCACGAAGGTGGTCTGTATGTGAGACAATCAGCCATTTGCGTGCCGCTCACATCACGCCATAGGAGGGACCGTTTGCAGTGGGCACGACGACATGTCCACTGGACGCCTGATCAATGGAGGGCTGTTCTCTTTACGTATGAGTCCAGGTTTAATCTAGAAAGCGATAGTAGGTGTTATTTGATATGGAGAGAACCTGAAACCCATTATCATCTGTCAAACATCCGTGAAAGAAATGCATATGGAAGAGGTTGCGTGTGTGTTTGGGGTGGTATCTGTTTGGGTGAACGTACAGACCTCCATGTCTTTCCAAGGGGAACCATGAATACTTGAGTTTATAGAGATGAGATCCTTGATGCTTATGTGCGCCCATATGCCAGGGCAATAGTTGATGGTTTCCTGTTAGAGAACAGGGCCCACCAGTGGCTGAGCGGTAAAGTCGCTATACACTGGTAGTTGGGTGCGAGGTTCAAATCCAGCGAATGGGCTGGATGGCGGGGCATTTTCGTGGTTTTCCCTATGTGTAACGTGTATACGAGCCAGTTTTCTATAGAAAGTCCTCTACAAAGGCATCCCTTTCCTTAGGCAGATAGCTCTAGTGTGCTTTGCTGTAATTAAATAAACCAAACCTGTTACAGAACAATCTGGAAACTATGCTTTTACCTGCCACTTTCTGGCTAGCCTAAGCCCAACAATTTTAAATTGTATAAAGTTCAGAATGAATTTCAATTTCAGGCTTTTCATCAATTTATATTTTTTTTCACTGCAATTCTCAGAGGTGATTTCTATTTTGCATATGACAAGCTGATGTCCTTTCCGATTTCTCATCCGTCGGAAGATCTGAAACAGTTTGTTCACCACTCTAGTTTATTCGCATCATGTGTACAGTTCACCTCGGTATTTTTAGCAATTGGTACATGCTTATTTTTCTCTATTTCCTGAAAAGCAGTTCCAATTTTTGCCTTAGAGTCATGATTAGAATCTGATTCTTTACAAACATACGTATCCTTGTGTAGAATCAAGTTTGTATCCGTAAAACTTGTATTATGAGACACACTTAGCTTGTGATGTGGATGTATTTTCTTGCAATACTGAACACTCTGTTTAAGCTGTTCATCAGCTTTTCCCTCCTCTGAATCATGTGAATTTTCAGATGGTTCAATACTTGCTAACTGTAACTTCATAACTTTACTATCAGTTTTTACCACTTGTCGCCTATGGCTGCACTTTCATTTTCTTTCCATCTCTGCTTTAGGCACTTGAGAATTAGGAGTATTATTTTCATTATTTGTGAAAACTTTTACTATAAGCCTCACATTTCATCAACCAAACATTTCAACTTCTGTGTGAAGAATTTTTGGTTTCTTTTGCAAGTGCCAGCAATAGCAACAATACATACCGCCCAGATGGTATAGTGGTTAGGGGAATCTGACTGTGATACGAAGGGCCTGGATTCAAATCCCAGAGAAAGTATAGATGTAAAATTGTCTGTCCTTTTGTAGGAGGTAACGGTGGCTGCTTATTAGGTGCCTCCACAATAAAATGGCCACCACTTCTGGACTTAAGAGTGGTCAGTGCCTTTATAGGCAAGTGCCCACCATTGGGGAAGGGGAAATAGCAACAGTACTTGGCTAAAGCTTGTAGAGACATTAGGTAATTTTTGGAAGCAGGCAAGATGAAAAATTAGCAACGCCTTTGCCAGTAATCGAACCACGGACCTTTGGACTACCGCCCCAGCTTGCAAGAACGACTACACCACAAAGGCATGCTAGGAAGGTGGGAGAAATACCTTATATACTCCCCCTTTTAAAGTGTGACTGAGGTTTTTAGGGAACCCAATCCCCAAATCCTGAGTGAGGAGAATCATCATCCAGCACCCGTTTTTAGTTCGAGCACCACTGTAGAGACATTAGGTATTTTTGGAAGCAGAAGATATGAAAAATTAACCAAGCCTTCACCAGGAATCCAACCGCGGACCTCTTGAATATCCGCCCAGTGTGCAAACCACTACACCACGAAGGCATGCTAGGAAGGCAGGAGAAATACCTTATAAGCTGAACAAATTTCTTATAAAATCAGAGTCAGCAATATTATTACAGTAAATTTTATCACTTCATATTACACAAATATTTTTCTTTAAAATCATAATTTCTCAATAAAAGATTCTTTTGTGGAATTTAAATATTTGATGTCTAGGCACATGTATATAAATGTAATGTTTTATATAGTATATCAGAAAATAATGTGTTTAAATGGCAGTGTAAGTTAACTAGCTGTGCATATGTCCAGTGCTCGGTAGAGTTTTATGATATTTAAAATACTGAAAACTAATATTCTTAAATTGTTCATTTATTGAAAGAAATTCATTTTAATCTTTAGTATAAATCTAATATTTACAATTTAATATTACAATTTGCTCATATTTACAATTTAAAAATTATCTTTGGCTTTACATACCTTTTATTTCTATGAGCCGTGGCTATAATTTAAGTATTCTGCATTGAAATGGATATATTCTGTAGTAGCTCATACTGCTTATTATTATTGTAAAATTACAGCTGCAAACAGAAAATCTATTACACTTATATGTTACATATCCCTCTCAGTATAATATATAAAACATTCTAAACTATATCCTTAAAACTTGTATTTATTACAGAAAATCTATAATTTAAGGATTAATAAAATATACAGAATGATTCTAAATTATTTGGACAAAATGTTAATGCAGGTAGAGGAGAGTGAAATAAGCAGATTCTGTAATGGGATGTATGTGCAAAAATGGCATGTATATGTAACCTAAGGTAGGTAAGAAATATAGGTGAAGTCAAAAGAAACAAACATTATAGTAACTCAACTTTTTTACAATAGGGGCTCAGAAGTGCAACCACCAACAATAAGTCAGGATTTACAGCAATGGTTTAATATATTTGGAAGATTTAGCAGTTGACCGCTGTTTGCTCAGGAATCATTCTCTGTGCATCCTTTGAGTAACTGCTCCACTTCTGTCCACAACCTGTAGATAAAATGCAAATTGGCAAGTTCCATGCTTGTGCAGCAATGCTTATGTTCAAAAGTGGACCTATTGATTTCAGCCTTTTCCACTTCAACATGCCATTTCTACACATGCACCATTTACAAAATTCTGCTTCTTTCAGTCTCCTCTACCTGCCTTTACAATTTCGCCAGATGTTTTACAGTCACCCTGTGTAGCCATATAATATAGCTACATTAGACATAACATTTTTTAAGGAAAATGTTTTTATACCATCAGACTTCAAATACGAAGATTACATGAAGATTAATAGTAAATAATTATCTGCAGAAATGAGTTCATGGTAAAGTTAAGAATGTAAATTTAAAAGCCATGTGAATATTTTTAATTAATAAATAATTTTCTCTACATAGTACAAATATTCTTAACTGATACCAAATTTTGGTACTCGCATTATCCACTGAACCAACCTGCAGTTGTTTTCGAATAATTTTTCGCCAACTTAATACTTGAAAAACAGTAGCCATTTAAAAAATACAGCAGTCTGCTGAAAATTGTATAAAATAGCTACAAATTAAAGAAATAAAAACACAAGAAACATCCACAATTAAACAGTAAAAATTACGTAAAACAAACATCCATAACAAATTAACTAAATTATGAATGCAACAAACATCCATAATGAAACATTTTCTATTTTCTCAGTTTGTTGTTCATTTTCTATTTCTCAAACATTTTCTATTTTTTCAGTCTCAGTTTGTTCAAAACATCGGAGAAATGCAGAATTCTTGGCATCGCAGAGCTACTACTTTTGAGCTGCAAGATATCTATAACAATGTTACATGGGAGATAAATAATGCTAGTCAAATGCATTGTATTCAAATACTTGGCTGGCAGATTTTAGTAGTACATTTCCATACAATTTGATCGTTTGTGAACTACAGTGTCATGATATGTGCATTCCTACCTAGACAAAACACCATATTTCTGAAAGAATGCAACACTTTATTAGCAGACAAACTCCACAGTTGCATTATAATTCGTTACAAGCCGAAAAAAATTCTAAAACTGTGTTGCAACCATTAGTGGGTTGCTAAATAAAATACAATTTTGTAAAATTCTAGGTTGCTTAGGTGACATTTAACTTAGGTTCATGTAATCTAGGTTCACTTAAACTTAGGTGACATAGAACTTTGCCTAGAGATCCTTGTCACACTTGGGGTGGATAATGCAACATTATCCAGATTTCTTTAATGCTTTGTAATTCAAAATGTTTGCTAATTGTGTTTCATTAGAGCAATTATTGAATGAACATTTTGCATTATAGGTACAAATGGAAGTTAGTATATGGTTTGTTCAGGATCAATTAAAGGGGGATAATTCAACAGAACTTAGAGTAAAGTTCATACGAAGGTTGGAAGAAGCTGTGCCTGTTGGAGAAGACTAATGTAGCTTCATATTATTCCGTACTGTTTTTGTTTAATATAGTATTGTCTAATAATTGTTCTATTTTTTTAATGTGAATAATGATCTGCATTCATTAATAAAGAGTTATTTCGTCTTAGAGAGGAAATAATTTTGTAAATAAATAATTTAATAAATGAATAAATACAATATAAATAAACAGATAATAACATATGTTAATCTTTTAGGTATTATCTTGTATATTAGCAAAACTCAGTGCAAATTTTAGATTTTGCAGACAATTTAAAACATTAATGTTCTGTTATAAGTGTAATTCGTAGGTATTAACTGCAGTAGAAAAGTAAAATAATTTTCCCATAATCATTATAGTAGGAAAATATGATTTAATGTAAATGTTTTCCTTGAACAAGCCAAAGGTCTGCATAATGAGGTCTATTCTTAAATAATTATATGGTAATGTTTCATATTTGGAAATGTCTCATCATGAAATTTTAATGTTTCATCATACAAAAGGCAACATACGCCAAGATTTTATTTTTAGCCCAAATGGGCTATTAGTCTCGAAATGGGATTTTGCATTAGTAACTATAAACTTTGTACCGTATTTTATGGTCTATAAGACACACTTTTTTCTTAAAAAAATTGCTTAACAAATTCAAGTGCATCTTATACTTGAAATTAATATAAAAATGTCGTGTGTTTGGTTTAAAATTTTCGCCATTCTTAAAAATGGTCATATATTCGATGCTGTGGGAAACCTAACTCTATCTGGCAACATTAGATTCAACTGGTAGCAAATGGCAACACTACCTAGAGTGAGAAATGATATTATTGTTAAATTTTTCAAGAAGTATGGCATAAGTAACTCTGTCAACGGCAGTGAAGACCATCTTATATAATATGAAGAGGATGACGAAGAAGAGAAAGAAGAATAAGAAAGAGTTCAGATAATGATTTTCAAGAATTTTAAAGGTCAGTTTGGTTTCATAAACTAAGAATTTTTTTTTTTTTTTAGTCTGGCTTTCCAATCTAATAATAAAAATGGTAAAAATATTTGTTTTTTTAAAAAATTGCTTAAAAATTAAGGTTTTTCTTATAGTCCATAAAATATGGTATCAGTTTTCAAATTGTTGTGACCAAATATTATCGTCTTGTATTATTTAAAAAAAATAAATAATAAAAAATCTGCATGAATGTATGAATGTTTTTGGCAGTGTTAAAAAATAACGGTACCTAGAGCTATCAAATTTCAAATAACATTGTCCTCCACCCAAGCACGTGCAACTGTAAGCCTGAATTTCGGATTTCATGTTTCATATTTTGTAAAATTTAATGAATTTTTGGTTAGCAAACTCAATAATTTGAATGTGAGCAGTAGCAACATTGTATGGAATAAAACCCAATTATCTCCACTTCCCGAGACTGTCTGTCGAAAATTCTAAAGATGTGATGTTTTTAGATATCTGGTGACTTTGCTGTTGAATTGAATTTTATGTGGCGATAAGTGTTAACACTCTGATATTTAATAAATAAAGTTAACACACAAAATGTTAATAACAAAAAGACAAAAAACATTTTTGGTAGCCATCTTACTTATAACACTGTTATAATAAACTAAAAGAGTGAAAGAAATATAAAAATGTATGCCAACACTAAACACTGCATCAGGAATTCTAAATTTTGTTAAATTAAATAAACATTTTGTGATTTTTCTTGTTGAATTGTATATGGCATAAGTGTGAAGAAAATGGTGCATAATGATGAAGCTAAAAAGACAAAACAAATGGATTAGCAGAAGTGAGTGCAACAGCAGACTGCGAGCTAAGCAAGAGCATACAAAAAACTTCAACAAACCTTCCTAGGTGACCATTAAAATCTGAACAGGTTTTTTTATTTATTTATTTTTAAATTTTCTTAACCTTACTATCAAACATGTGATTGTAAACAGCATATTCAAAGCTGCTGATAATAAATTGTTTTGAAATTTTGTTGTAATCAGTGTGCTACTTGACCAGTTCCCTAGTAGATCTTAATCAGTTTCTTAATTATTCTAAAACAATGACACTAAACCTTTTTTCATGTACAAACATATATGTAAAGACTGCTGCCAAACAGTATGTAAGTAAGTCATATTATGACTAACCATGTAATAAAATTTTGCTTAAAGAATAATATAATTATCATGCAAATTTTTGGGTGTGAATTTATGTTACAGATTTATGATTGCTGCTAGTTTCTTATTTGATAAAACAATTTAAAACAGTTAGAAAAAATGTTAAAATATATTTTCATCACCCATCTTCTTGCCCCCCCCCCAAATTTTAATTTCTCTAGTGAAGAAGATATATTGTGTCTTTATCCTTAATAGAATGAATTTTCAAAGTACAAAACTTTACTGTGTTGTAGCATTAGTTGTAAATCCAATTATGTCAAATTTCTTTAAAATATAACAAAAGAAACTAATATTTGTTGAGAGATTTAAGCTTTTCAGAGTAATAAACATAAGAAATCTACTATACCCTTCCCAGGGTTCTAAAAACAGACTTTCCATTGCTGGCTGGGCGGGCTACCATGAGAACATACATACAAGAAATAAATCCCTATATTCGCCTCTGTTCGAAGAAAGACTGTGGAGAGGATCAAGACCCAGTTGGCCAATTGCAGATGGTGGTGAGTTAATCATTCACCATATCTTAGCTCAGGTACCTTTGTAGAGATATTAGGTTTTTTTTGGAGCAGGAGACAACTAAATTAACTCTGCTTTCACTGGCATTTGAACCACAGATCTTCCATTTGCTAGCTGGGTGTATTAGCAGTTATACTACAAGAACCTAAAGGAAATGGGATATTTATATATAATAAGATTGTATTTCTTGTTCATATTTCTCTGGAGTCTTTTATGTATCAGCATGGTTATACACCTAAAAATCCTTATGATGACCTAAAACATTGGATGAACCGTGGTGAGCCAGCACAACAGGATTAGAACAAAATATCAGTGTGTTAACTGTTAGAAAGAAGAGAAATGGCCATCTCATAAAACATTTAATAAATAAGTATTTTTATTAAAATAATTATGGTACAAGAAATTAATTCTAAATGTGTGTAAGCAATCTCAGTTTTTATTCAATGTAACATATTAAAAAATTAAATTGAAAAGATTTTTTTTTATAAATAACATTAAGTTTCTAATTTCAAAAATCTTCTAGAACATTGTCAGGATCAATATTTTTTTCACTAACCAATGAGGAAATAAATGTTAATGAGAGAAGGGCTATGGCTTTATTGATTTGTTGTAGTATTTAAATACTTATCGAAATTATATAATTCTGCTTCGATTCCTGGACTTTGAACTTTATCTAATAAGAAATTATTGTTTGAATTTTCTGAAAAGAAACTGATTAGAATTTTAGATGAATACAAAACTTCATTCATCAGTTAATGAAGATAATCAACCTTATAATCAGTTAATGAAGGTAATCAACAAATTTTGTCACCTATGTATCCAATAACATTGAGAGGCTAGTCAGAAGTGAAAATTCAGTCAAAGAAAAACACATCAATAATCTAAAACTTTTACCAAAAATTCAAGTCATTATTTAGGTATAATTTTGAAAATCAGTTATGGAGGGTCACTAGAGATTGAGCTGCCTAATATTACCCATATAATAGGTTTCTGAAAAACCATTTAAGCAATTCTGTTGAAGCAATGAGAGAAATATCTACTTTTGGATTATTTATCACAAAACGGAGAAATAATCTTAGTGATAAAAGCATTAATTCCGAGAGCACTTTGCAGGGTTTCTTCTTAAACTTTTTTCAGTCGCTACCGCCTTTTATCATCGAGATTGTTTTGCGACCCCCCAGGACCCCATAATATTTACAAAAATTTTGTGGGACCCCATAAGTATTGCACAAATCCGACACACGCGTGAGTGAAACTGTCAATTTTTTCACTTGCGCTGTAATATACTATTGCAGTTTTAGGTCAGTAACTTTAATTTCTAAATTTAAGACATAGAACAGTGTGAAAATTTTAAATAAGTAACAGACGAAATAACAGCGTCACGTGCAAACCAAGGAAAATAAATGTTTATACTATAAAAAGAATCCGTCGAAACATTTTCGTTTTTTTCTTTGTATTGTCTTATCTTTATAGTATGTTTTCAGATACACGGTGTAAAAATATTTGGTAATTGTAAAATTATTATAATAAGTTAAAGAACTATCAAAACTGCTAAAATTTTTGGCGAACTCAGTTTAAGAAACCCTGCTTTAAAGAGTTATTATAGAAAGCATAAAATTTATTGTGAATGTAAGCTTTCAAACTTTACAAAAGAATGCTTTTTTCTTTATAACACTTCATTTTGCATTATTGTTTCGCAAATTTATTTTAATTGCAATGTAAAAATAAAATGTTATAACCTTTTTTGTTTTTATTAATTTTTAATATTATTAATTTATAATTATGTTTGTGCGTAACAATAATCAACTCCCGATTAACCGGAAACCTCCCTTTCTTTTTTGTTGACGAATAAAAAATGACTATTAGAGACCATCTGTGTGAAGTAAAATTCTCTATTACGGAAAATACAGTTAGGAAAAGGAAAGACGTGAGATAACAGTAGTGAAAGCAGACGATGATTGCAGGTAACCCCCCCTCCATTTAAAAAAGAAGTTCCGCGAAATTAATTGTGATAGTGTTCAAATTCTGTTGTAAATATTGTTCTTAAACACCATTTGTAATTTAGTTACCTCATTCCTGAAAATGTTTATTTTTTCGATCTTTTCCTTCTGAGTACTGATTTAATTTGCATAACCAAGTGACCTTATTTTCTGGATTAAATTGCTTCATTTCGGTGAATCCGGAATTCTTCTTCTTATTAAACTCGGGTTATTTATTTTTTCATCTCCCTCCCCCCCCCCCCTCCCCACTGCACTCCGTTTAACCATCACATTAAGTAAAACCATGGATCTCGTTCCTGGTATTTCCCGGATTAATCGGAAGCCGACTGTATAACGATAACTATTTAACATAAACGGTTAATGTTTCTAAATTTGTCTAATTCTTGGGAAAGAAAATATTGCATATGTGGAACACCCTATTTCATAGTACGTCTATGTATTCCAGTGTTTGGAATGACGACAAAATGTTTTTTTTTATGGAATATTAGTTAATGAGAACATGACTGTTCCAAGTGAAATAAAAACCACGCAACAAGTTGTTAGTAAGACTTACTAATTTTGATGTTTTTAGTAAAGATTTAAAATTTGTGTTAGTTTGGTTGTGCTCGTTAACTCTGCAGAGAAAAATGTGTCCGTCTGAATTGCCAATATAAGTGATAGGACATGCTCGTTTTTTGAGAAAAAGAAACAATTACTTCATGCTTTCTTGTGTAATGCTTAAATTTCATCGATTTTACGAGTCTCTGAGTAAATTAAGAAATATAATAGCTGGCACAGAATTAAATTTTGTTCGAAAACGAACTAAAAATTGATTATTAAAGAAATTTAAAGTTTTAAAATTCATTCACTGATATTACTGGCATGAAAGTAATGCAACTTCGAATAGACATAGCTAGTCACTCGCATATTATGTAACTTCCTTCCATCCAACCAACTGATATCGTCTTTTAGCTAAAAAGTGGGAGATCGAGAAGCTTCTAAGAAAATGCAAGAAACTGCCATCACTGAATCTTCTGGTATTTAAGCATCACCTATTAATTCCAAAGAAAGAAAACTTGAGATGATTTTCTGTTGATAACAGATTTTTAAATGAAGTTAAAATAAAGAAAGAAATATTTTGCCTAGTGCTGGTTACAATTTTGTCATGTTCGAAGGCAATAGCAAAATCATCGCGTTTGTCCTAGTCTGCAGGATGCAGTTCTTGTAGAACTTAGATCTTGAATGGTTACCACTTTACAATGGATTGCAGAACCTTTCGTATCGTAGACCAAGTATAACGACAGTATCTTCTTCCACAGTTTCATGTACAGTATGTCTTTTTCTTTGTAGCACACCTAACTCCCCAGTCTCTTCAAATTTAGTAATAATCTTTTTTAAACGTTGCTCGACATAGACTCTTTTCGTAAGCTTTCCAAGTGACGACATGATCACTATGCGGTTGAAAAATTATTTTCGTTCTGATAAAAACTTATCAATAAAACTCGATGTTTCCGCTCTAGAGGCATGGTAAAGAATGTTTTTATGACATTGACTAATGGTTTTTTTAAAACACACCAAATCTACATGACGTCGTTTCTATATTACGTGAAAAGTGCCATCTACGGTCGAAATTGAATTATTAATTTTTGTTGCAGATTTCGTTTTCCCATGGCCCATGTAACGTATATACCAAGTTTCAAAGAAACAGGTGTACCAGAACAGGCTGTAAGTAGTTATAAGTAGGGTTACTTTAATTATAATAACTCATTATTTCATGATAATGTATCCCAACGAGATAATATACTGGTAGAGAGCGTATTGCAACCTTCAACCGGTTCCAACATTAGTGTCACGTGACTGCTGCGCGAATTCCGAAAGTGCGGAAATACTTTACATTGCTTTCTATGGGACGAAAGACTGCCAGCTGCTCTGCTTGGTCACATAAAATTTAAGTAAAAAATGGTTATTCGCTGCAGCGCCTACGGATGTAAAGAAAGTTTCGTGAAAGGAGGACTTGTAACCTTTCATAGGTAAGTTAAAACTGCATGATTTATTATTTATTTTCAGTATTTTTGTCATTTACTATCTCTGTTGAATTGGTTGGAAAGTTTCAGCCATATTGTATAAGAAAATTGCCTCCGTATATGACATTTTCAACATGTATTATTAGCATCAAAATGTATTAAATACTGTGACACTATTTACTGGAATCACCCTTTACAAATAATTGAATTTTATATGTTTTTTCCGTGTATTCCGTTGAAATAGAAGCTGCGCCAATTGGCGTTAACCTTTTTTCGCCAAGTCGTACGCGTTTTGATTTCATAAAC